ACGGTGCTCGGGAGACAAATGCCGAACGGGCCGGTGTGCTGAACGCATTGCGGTCATCGGAAGCCCCCCCCTCAGGCGGGCTTGCGATGATCGCAAGTATTATCTGCCTGTCCAAGATGGGCAGATCGTACGTTTTTTTAATTACTTTACAACCATCGCAAGACTAAAGTCTTGCGATGGTTGTAAAGTGTATGGCCACCTTAAAGGGTTATAGTGAGAAAGCACCGCCAAGGCCCAATTTTAAAGCACCTGTTGTAACTATCATCCAACGTCTGCAAAAGAGGCACCAGAATGTATCCAAAAAATCTCTAACTTTGTTCTGAGAGTCCTAAAATGTGGCCTCTTCATACAGGCTGCCGCCCCAGCAGTTATTTACAAGATTAAGCGAAACCAATTACCGGCAATTGAAATGTCATTTTTTTCTTTATAAATGTCACTTTTTGCTGCAGCAGGTTCTATACATTGTACAGATCCGCCACTTCACAGGCAGTTTAAGGGGACTGACCAGGCATGATATTTAAGGAATTTGTATTGTTACCTTTTAAGTGATGTAAAAATCACTGCTCCTTTAAAAATTGTATTTTTTTAAAGTGTTTTTTTCATTGATTCCTGTCCCCCAGGGCAGTACCCGGATCCCCATACACTTTTTATGGCCAATAACTTGCAAATAAGCCTTCAAAATGGGCTCCTTGAGGGCATGTGAATGTGCATTATGTAAAGTACGGTGACGTCACGGCCCATTTGTTTTGATTTGGTTATGACCTGTTTTGACTTGGTTGTGACCTGACCACAGGTGGCGCCCAAATGTCAACAAATGGGCGGAGCTAGCGGTGACATCAACATTTGGCCGCCACCTGTGGGTCTACTCAGCTCACGGCCAAATCAAATGGGCGGAGCCGGCCGTGACATCACTGCTAGCTCTGTCTATTTGTTGACATTTGGCCGGCTGGCTGCTGTCATTTGGCTGCGTGTGTTCGTCGGGTATCGGGCTCTTTGTTATTTCGATAGATCGGCGTCATCGTTGACAACACTGGCCGCTGTGACTGATCATTTGATCACTTCGATGGATGCGTTTTTGGACTATTTGGGTTTTTTTTTTCTTTTTAAATAACGGATTTGTCAAAAACTTGTGTTGTTTCGCGGGTGCGCGCAATTTTAAAGCTTGACATGTTTGGTGTCTATTTACCCGACGTGACCCCGACTTTTATATTTTACCAAAAAACTGGGTAATAATAAGTGTTTCCTAACATAATGTAAAAAAAAAATTTCTGTAATTTTTCCTAATTATAATAAAAAATAAAAACCCCAGTGGTGATTAAATACCCCCAAAATAAAGCTCTATCTGTCCCCAAAAAATGGTATACAATTCCTTTCAGTACAGCGTTGCATGACGGAATAAACGTCAGTCAAAGTATCGCAGCGCTGAACACTGAAAAATGGCCTGGATGGGAAGGGGGTCTAAACACCTGGTCTTGAAGTGGTTAAAGGACTTTTTCAAACGTGTGGTGTATTTATTTACATTGTACTTTTAATCCTTTAGTGAATGAGTAAGGGTACAGGTACCCCTACTCATTCACAAGGGGGGGCCGCATCTGGCTGCCCCTTAACTAAAGGGGTACCCCGAAGCAAATAACGCCCCCCTGCCCACAGACCCCCACAACCCGAGTGAGGGCTTGTGGAGAAGAGGCCCTTGTCCCCATCGGCACGGGGACAAGGTGCATTCCCAGGGGGGACCCTGGGAAAGCACCCTCCCAGTGCCGAGGCATGTGGCCTGGTATAGTGCAGGGAGGGGGCATTCGCTCGCTCCCCCCCTTTCTGCCCTGCCAGGCCTCTGCTCGGATTGAGGGTCTGATTGAGAATTTTAGGGGGGACCGAACATTCTTTTTTCCCGTTTTTTGGGGGTGGGGTTCCCCTTAAAATTCCTACCAGACCTATAGGGCCTGGTATGACTTTTGGGGGGAACCCCACACTTTTTTAAAATTGTTAACTCGAGGGGGGGGTCCCCACGCTGTTTTTTTTTAGTTTACATTTTTTTTTTTAATCATTATTTTATCAATTTAACACTATTTTTTGGGGCAGGGCATTTTTTGCTGCCTCCCTAACGCCTGCTGAATGCTTATAGGCCGTTAATCGTGTGGTAAAGTCTCAACTAGAGATGGGCTCGATATTCGAGTCGAATGTGAATCTGTCTCGAACATCGGCAGTCTGTGTGTCCGCCGAACACACGAACTGCCAGGGTGTTCGGCGGGCTATTCGCCTGCCAAGTTTCCCGCAAGGCACTGTGCCTTGTGAGCCCTAATTGGCTGAAGCCTTGCACCTGACCACATGGCCCAGTACTCTGTAAGAGCCATGATTGGGCAAAGTCATCGCGACTTTGCCCAATCATGGGTTATCTTTTACAACTGTAAACAGTTGGGTGGAGCTAGCTGTCACTGCTAGCTCCACCCAATTGTTTATGTGTTGCCGGATCTGTCAAAATGCCATTCTGCGGCGGGTGTTCGTCACAAACGGACGTGAAGGCGGTCGTCGTGTTTTTTAAAATTATTATTTCTATTTATTTTTATTGTTTTATTTAGTTGAGCTTTAAAAAAATATAAGACTCAAAAGTCTGGCCTCTTTTTTACAAGTTTATTTAACCCTTTAGTGAATGGGTAGGGGTACAAGTACAAGGGGGGTGCGGCATCTGGGTACCCTGATGTGAGTAAGCCCCCTGCCCGCACCCCCACAACCAACACCCCAGAGCTTGTGGGGAAAAGGCCCTTGTCCCCATAGGCACGGGGACAAGGTGCTTTTCCAGGGACGACCCTGGAAAAGCACCCTCCCAGTGCCGAGGCATCGCTCACACCCCCCCCCCCTTTCCTGCCAGGCCTGTGCCTGGATCAAGGGTCTGGTATGGAATTTTAGGGGGGACCCCACGTCTTTTTGTCCCCATTTTTGAGGGTAGGGTTCATCCTTAAAATTCCTACCAGACCTTAAGGACCTGGTATGACTTTGAGGGGGAACCCCACCCACTTTTTTTTGTTGCTTTTTTACATGGGGTCCCTCCTAAAATTCCTACCAGACCTTAAGGGTCTGGTACAACTTTTGGGGGAACCTCACACTTTTTTTTTTTAAATGGGTCCCTCCTAACATTCATACCAGACCCAAAGGGTCTGATATTGTTTGAGAGGGGGAACCGCACGCCTTTTTTTTTTTAAATGTAATTTTTCCTCAAAAATGTCAGTTTTGCTGCACCAGGTTCTATACATGGTACAGATGTGCCACTTTACAGGCAGTTTAAGGGGACCCCCCGACACGGAAGGAATTTAAAGGAATTTTTCATTTTTGTTTAAGTGATGTTAAAACCACTCCTCCCTTAAAGACGATATTTTTTAAAAGCGTTTTTTTCATTGATTCATGTGCCCCATACACTTTTTATGGCCATTAACTTGAAAAGAAGCCTTCAAAATGGGGTCAAATGATTTTCGAAGTTCTACCCCCATAGACTTGCATTGAGTTCGACTTTTCCTATGTTCTAAAGTTTGAATTCGAACCGAAAACGCAAGTGTTCGGCTCATCACTTTTCTCAACGCACATGTGAAAGAGCCCTCTCACTCTACCCAAAGAAGTCTTGGCTTCAGTTATGAAAATAGAAGTAACGTTCTGAAAGCCATTTTCTCTGACAAATGTTTAACCTCGTATACAATTATTAATATAGCGCTAACATATTCCGCCGCGCTGTACAATCGTTTAGACAAGAAACACTCACAAGCATTCAGAAACAGTAGGTGATGATGACCTTGCCCAAACCAGCTCACAATCTAAGACATAAACAGATGACAGAATTGTAGATTTTGTTGTGAAAGTGAATGAAACTGAAAGCAGACCCAATCCCCCGAAGAGTGAGGGGAGGAGGTGGAGGTGTGAGAGCGGGGAGGAACAAGCTGTGCTCTCCTCTCAGAAAGCCGGTAGCTGGACTTCCATGTCCGGCCTCTCTCCTGTGCCATCTACAGCCTAGCCTTGGAATATAATATTCCGTGACACCCAATTCACAACTACTACAGGAGGGACGGGCCCACAGATCAACGAAGGAGCCTGGCATGCCTGGTGTTCCCGTTCCCTACCATTACGGACCCTGAATTCCCTCCTGTGAACAGCAATCCCCTCCCTGCCATGTGCTGAGGTGGGAGGTGTGTGTCTGTGTGGAAGGACTGAACTGCTGTCGGTGGACATGACGGAGCCGGCTCTACTTCCTTGTTTAGGCTCCTTCAGACCTGGCCGGCCTTAGCTGAGACAAGTTGGGCCACTATGAAGACGCGGGGCCTGCCATTATAGGAAGTGTGTGTTCGGCTCTCTTTTTCTTCCTACCATGGGCTGACTTTGGCGGACATAAGTCGTGTGGAAGTGCTGGATTCTATGGCGGACACCTTCTAAGCCGTTTTCTATGAAGTTTCAGTCATGACTATTATTAGCTGTCTCGTTGTGGATTGTTATTAAGCAGACATGAGCGGGCGGCGAAGTTTACTTTGCGCGGAGTGAGAGGGGTCAGGCCCTCATAGTACATGGACAGAGTCTCCTACACAGGCCGAGAAGTGTGTGACACTGAGGGGACACCGAGTGCCAGGCTGGAGATAAAGAGGGGGGGACAAAGGGCCGCCGGCATGTTCTCCTCTCTGTGCCCCCCGATGTCCGGGAGCTCTTCTCTCAATCAGGCCCCCGTCCCGGCTCTGTCCACCTCCTCCTCAGCGGCCTCGTCAGTGTCAGGCCACCGCCACAGACCTCAGGACTCTTCGGGAAGAAAGAAGCGAAAGGGGGACCGACACGGCAAAAGAAGGAGGAGGCCCGAGGAACCCTCCAGTATTGGCCTAGTGGAGGAGGGAGAGGTGCCCGCTGATCCTCGGGGAGCCCGGCGCCATAGAGACAAGAAGAGGAAACAGAAGGAGCGCAGCCGGAGGAGTCTCCTCAGGAAGGTCGGAACTCTGCACAGCACGGCAGTGGAATACGACGACGTCAGCTCCCTGTCAGAGGGCGAGCGAAGCCAGGAGGCTCCGTTACCCCAGGCGCAAGGCCTCATCCCGTCCCCGGCCTCTGATAGGTGCCCCTCGCCGCCTATGCTGCACCAGCCGCCCCTGCCTCTTCTACGCCAGGCCGTGGACTCCGACAGGAGCGGCCGGAGGAAGAAGAGAAGGCAAGAGACTGGTCACAGGAACAGAGACGATGGCCGGCCTGAGGAGCGGAGGAATAGGCTGGGCGTGGGAAGCCTGTTGCCCGCCGAGCCTCTAATGCTCGCTCAGCCGTGGAGGCCTCAGGAAGAGTCCGCCAAGAGGACGGAACTCAGGGCCGCGGCCTCGTACAGGCCTAAGAGGGAGGAGGCCGCGGGGTATGGCAAGCAGCCGCCCAAGGCCTACAGAGGGGACAGGGGCTCTTCCAGGGTCTCGCCCCAAGGCAATCACCGCAAGAAATCGGCGAGCCCGAGCCGCTCACCCAGCCCGGGCTACAGCGGACACCGGTTAGGCCGGCGAACTCCTACATACGAGAGGACAGACAACTCCCCGTCTGCGGCCCGCCGGAGATCCCGGAGCCCGTACAGCCCGGTCAATAGGTGAGCCTCGCTCCATCTACGACAAAGTTTAATGGCGACGTGTATTATGTGACTGCTGGTCGTTATTGGTGGGGTCATGGTTGGTCCTGCTGTCATGTAGTCAAACATGACAGCTATGTGGTGGGCTTAGGTGTTAAAGTGTATGTAAAGCAAGACCTCAGTAAAGACTAACATGTGTTACAATCTGATCATACAATCTTTGTACAATCAACTTGAGATTTACCAAAACTATGTAATATGAGGACCTAACTAAACTGACCTGTATACAGTCAGGCTGGTCCTCTCTGTACAATCAGATTGATACATGTGTGGTGAGCTGAAATCTCTGTTTACACTTTCATGCATTTGTTAGCACAATTTCCTACCTTTTTTTTAAATAAGTTTTTGTTTTGTCCAATGAAGGTGTGAATCTCTTAAGGGCCCATTCACACTAACCCTCATGCTAAAAGTGACTCTAAGCTCAGGAGTTGCATCTTTAAAAATGCATAAAAGTACCCTATTAGTAAAATGTATCTTATTTGTTTATCACTCGGCTGTAGATCCTCAAATCATCTCTGAATTCATGCTGACACTGTCCTTCGTTCTGGAGGCCCTGTTTCTATTGTAGAGTAGCCCTAAGCTCGCTTCTATGATGGATTACAATCTTGATACAAATTAGTAACCTAAACCTGACATTGTAGTCCATCACAGTAGCGAGCTTGGAGTGGTGACTACTTTACAACGCACACACAGGGACCATGGGGAACAAAAGTAGCCAACCTCCAGAAGGAAGGACAGTGTCAGCACCAATTCGGAGATTATTTGAGGATCTACAACGGAGTGATACACCAATAAGATACATTTTTGTTAATAGAGTACTTGAGTGCAATTTTAAGATTTAACTCCTGAGTTTAGTGTCACTTTACTTATTCTCAACGTGCAGGCTGGTGTACTGAGTGCCGCAGGTGGTGTGATGCACTGTTATGGCCCATGTTTACAATCCTCTCAGGTCTGCACACTGCAGGGTGGTGAGCTGTGGTGCAAAAACATGGAACAGGTCAGCATGTTTCACACTGCACATCACACCCGCATTGTGATGTGAACAGAGCACATACATCTATTTTCTATGTGCCCTAACAATGACTGGAGTTGTTCAGTTACTGGAAAACGCCAGTCACTGCTTAACCGAGTGGTGTGAATGAGCCCTTTTGCAGCCCACTGAATGGCACAGCATACCAGGCTGCTGGTTGGAGACTGGCATGGAGTGTACACTCCAAGTAAAGGTACTGCATGTTGTACTGTGTTTTCTATACTGGAGACGGTGTTAGTGAGGACCAATATAAAGGGTGATTCTTCCCAGCTGGGACACACATCCATAATGACTCAACAGAAGCTGTAACCTTTCCCTACTCTATCCGAAACGAAAACACCAAATTTTGGCTTTACATATACCTTTAAAGTAGTACTAACGCCAAAACTGTATTTTCTTCATTTTGGATAGAGTTATGGTTATAACTCGTCAGTCTTTTTCTATCTGCGTCCCATTGGAGAGATTTATCTTCACTTCCTGTCCCATAACAAATTGGTTGTCAGCAGGGTCACCGTTCTAGTGTCCTTATTGGAAGATATCCCTTCTATTTTTCTAGTGGTGACAACTCAAAAGTTGTAAGTTTCTTTCACTTTTACTAACCGTTCCCAGGACAAGCGAGAGTGACTGCCCCTAACGGGGACACAGACAGAAGTAAAAACTTGACAGGTGTCCTAATCCCTTCCTACTCTATCCAAAGCACAGAGAGGTGAACATGCCAGCTTTGGTTCTATTGTCATTTTATTATCTGATAGTTATTAAAGCAGAACTCCAGGTAAATATTTTATTAACCCTTGAAGTGGGGCTACCCCTGCACTGCAAGGGTTAAATTCTCATTTTTGTCTAGGGTCAAAAATAAAAGTTATACTCGCCCGATCCTCCAAGCCATTTTGCTCATAGACCAGTTCCTGGACCCTTTCTTCCCATTCGCTGCAGTGGTATAAGGTCCCTGAGTTATGTTCTATACAGTGTAAAGACGTGAGGACGCCGAGGGACATACCATCGCTGCTGCTGCGGAGAAGACGGCAGGGGAGAGCGCTGTGATAGCGGGCCGGCTCGGAGAATCAGGTGAGTATAACTTTATTTTTGACAGCAGGACATTGTGTTTGTCCTGCTGTCACCAGGTAAGCCATAGTGCTGTAATTTGTTATAAACCTATAGTTCAATGGATGGGTTAAAGCAGGGGTAGACAAATCAATATGGAATTCAGGAGCCAGTCTGTCAAATCCATGAGTCCACTCCATTGATAACAACTAAAGAAAACCTCAAAAAATAGGAGCTAGTTGTAATTTTTACGGAGCATTGGCTACATGGCTCCTGGGATTTGTCCAGCCCTGAGTTAAAGGAGAACTATGGGGTCAGTACTTTTCCCCATAGTATGACTTTGAAAGGTGGCCAGACGTTTCTCCCAAAGGCATTCATTTTTACTGTGCTCGGCTGACTTCAGGACTTTAATCACATTTGTAAAGCGCAGTGCTTTGTGTGGTATGGGTATACCCCTGCTTTATAAATGTCCCCTTATAGTTCAGTGATCGACTGAAGTGTTAAAGCTGAACTCCAATATAAGTAAATATTGTCTGAATACAAGAGGCATGTGTCTTCTTACTTGAATCTTAGTGTGCCTTGAGTATTGATTCCAGGTCTGTGCAGCAATCCAGGGTGAAACTTTGCCTGTGTGCACGAGCTTCCTGTAATAAAGACCAGTCACTGCAGCTCTCTGTGCTTGTGCTGCTTGACTGGTCTTGTATCCGCCCCCTTCTGTAGTTTGCTGCAGGCAGCGTGTAGTGAGTGGGGCCTGCTGGGTCCCTCCCATAGCTCTGCATTCTGCACAGGCTAGGTTTTGCACAGTTATGATGCCACTTCTAATTTTACAAGGTAATATCTGGGTTTGCAAGGGCATTTGGTGCACACAAAATGTATTTATATCCTTCGTGGCTATTGAAGAATCTGTTTTAAAAGTTTTCTGAAACCCATTTAATGTATAGGGTATTGCAAACCTCTTAGAAAAAAATATGAGTGCATCACTGTAATCTGTGCTGGTGATTATATGTGAGAGACTGACAAGTATGTGGTCCAAGGAAGCACAAGTTCTGCGGTACTTTGAGAAGATGTGGACATAAAGCTATGTCGTCATTTGGGGGCAGCAAACATGAATTGTAGGAGCACAGTTTGAGCACGTAGTCCTAATGTTTAGTGCTTTTTGTACTTGTCACTTCATTGTATAGTTGCATATTTCTTTTGTGTTGCCTTTTTATCTCAGGAAGAATTAGGCTTAGTACACATTTAGTTCCTACGCTGCATCTGTGGTTTCAGGGTGGACAGTGGATCATGGGATGCACTTCAGCTTGGACTGATACTACAGTATACATTCATGTTACTATATAGCTCCCTATGACTTATGTATTAATGATCATTTGGTCAGTGCAGTCTAGTTCCACACCCTTGTCTATGAGGCTTTTCCATGCAAGTTATTGAGGAAGATCCAACTAGAACAGACAATGCTAAACTATGCTCATGTCTGCAGAGTGTTATTTATGGATAATAAGCTGCTAAAAGTGTATATAGTAAAACGGTTTTATTTTAGATTTGGGTAAAGGTTCTTCCTATTCCCAATTCATCACAAAAAAAAAAAACGGTTTTGGCTATAGACACACTTTAAGGAAAACAGACATCCATGGGCCAGAGCTGCAAAACACTTACTGAAAATGCTAGCTGCCAGGATTGTTTGACTTTCAGGGCTTGTTCACATCATGGCCGGACCAGAGTTAGGAATCCTGGTATACACACTTTTCCTGGACCACTCATCTGCCTGCCAGCTATGTATCTTTTGCAGAAGAAGTGGTTCAACAAGGCGGCCTATATATTTCCCCTCAGTACACGGTTTCTTTAATGATGGAGCTTACGTTGAAAAATATTTAAGTAATCAAAAATCCAAAAAGAATATGGAATCTTTCTGTGTACTGGGATAGTTCCAAATGTAATCCTAAATCCCTGTTCATGATTATAGTACATTTTTTTAATAGAAGACTATGGAAAGATTGTTGTTGTAGCTGCACCTGTAGTGCTGCCATGAGGGCCCATTGATACCGTGTTTCCTTCCCTGAAGATAGTGCTAGGTCTTATATTCGGGGTAGGTCTTACTTTCGGGGAAACACGGTATATACAAGAACAGTCATTTGTGGTCCATCTATGGCTTCAGTACATTTTAAAACCGACTCATTGCAAGCATGCAGATCAGGAAAGTCAGAGCTGCGTTCTTGCTTCAGGTCACTTACTTAAAGTACTCAACCCATTGGATTAGCCTGGCAGCCAGGGAACTTACTTATTTAGAGGACTGAGGACTTTACTTCACAGTAGTTTAGTCCTTAGCACTGGATATAATGCTCAGATCTTCACACCTGCTCTGCTGCAAAACTGCCAACAGCAGTCAGAAGTGGCCTTAATCTGTAGGGCTCCTTCCAACTAGTCTCAAGGTAAAACTCTGCGTTTTTCTGTGCGGCTAGTGTACGCTGAGTGGCAGCAGGGGACCGCAGTGCCTTTTTTTTACAAAGCAAGGCGCTGTTTTTCGTTTTTCTTTCTATCTGGATCCTGTCTGCGTCCGAACAGGGACACCCGTACGGACGTGCAGGTCGGGGGAGCATAGGTCGGCGTACGGCTGCGTATTCCCATAGAGAAGTACAGGCTGCTGCGTGTAATCACACGCCGCACCTGTCCTTCCCGGGAGCAGCCAGATAGGGCCATGCATGCAGCACAGATCTGTACGGGCTGGCTGTTATTTGTGTGAGTGAGGGCTAAAAATGCATTCAAATACCCTATTGACAAAAATGTATCTTATATTGTGTGTGTGTGTGTGTGTGTGTGTGTGTGTTGTAAAGTAGCCACCGCTCCAAGCTCACTCCCGTGATTGACTACAATCTGAATACAAATGAGTGAAAAATGTGAGATTGTAGTCCATCACGGGAGCACAAATAAGATACATTTTTGTTAACAGTTTAATGTACTTGAATGCATTTTTAAGTTTTTTTTACCTCCTGAGTTTAGTGTCCCTTTAGAATCCCATTGTGCTTTGAGAGTTTCAGTAGGGGTTGGTCCAGGGCAGTTTTCCCATATTCTTCACTTACTGCAGTTAGGCTATTTCACTATGTAATAATAGTTTCATAACAGGTTAGTAACTTGGACCTTGGCATAGAACCCAGTTCATATTTGGAATTCTACTCCTGTATAACTTCTGTGTTCTGTAATGATGGCTCTGTTGCCAATACAGTCATGCTTCAGTTTTAACAGCTGGATTCAGGGTTTGAAGCTAATTGATTCTTCATAACATTTGGTTTGAAAAAAACAAAAACGCAGCCAATACAAACATATTGGGGGGAATTAATAAAGTGTCTGAGAGAAGCTTTGTCTCAACTGGAGTGCAGCCAATTCCTTTTCTAAGCTGTGTGGGATAAATGTAATGCTGGCCACAGACCTTACAACCATCGCAAGACTTTTGTCTTGCGATGTTTGTAAGGTAATTTAAAAAACGTACGATCTGCCTATCTTGGACAGGCAGATCGTACTTGCGATTATCGAAGCCCGCCCAGCTGAGGGGTGGGCTTCCGATGACCACAATGCTGAACGGCAGTGTGTGCTTGCGCACACTGGCCCATGCGGCATATATCTTACGAGCATGCCACACACCCGCCGACAATCGTACGATTCTCGGCAGGTTTTCGAACATGTTCCTAAGATAAAAGTCGTGCGACCGTACAGTAAAAACGGTTGCACGCCTTCCACACGCCTTGCGATAATTGTACGATCGTGGCATTTCTCACGATTATCGCAAGGTGTGTGGGCACCTTAAGGCAGAAGCTGATTGGTTGCTATATGCACCAATTGTGATAAATCTTGTCTCAGACAGTTTTTTATTAAAGCCGCCTAAATCACTTCCACTAGAGAGCCACAAACCTGCAGAGAGAAGGTAAATATGAAGGTGTACGTTTACCTGCCGAGGCTGCTGACATAATGGTTATGTCAGCACCAATTAAAGGGTTAATTGACTGACTAAGGTTTGCTAAGGGTAACTGTGCTTTGCGCACACTGCACAGGTTTAAACCCATCAGAAAAGAAATACAAGGCCTTGTTGTTGTTCTACCATTAGGACCTACTCCAATTGTAATGTATTATTTACCAAGCTGTTCTATTTCTAAGGAAGCAAACCCGAAATTATATAACATAACAAATATGAAATTGGTTACGCAGCGTACAAACTAGGTATCAAAATAGCATTTAATGTATTTAAACCCTAAATCTATTTTCAGTATGTTTGGCAATCATTTAACAAATAATTTTTGTGATCTGTGTTACAACATTTCTTACCTGGAGATCAGGCCAGTAACAGCATTTTCTGTTGCAGAAAACAATAAGCTACTGCTGGCAATTGTCTGCCTTGTACACCAAGTTAGCAGCGGGTCTGCCTATCAGACGTGTAAGATAGGCAGCCAACTGAAGGGGTTGGCATGGCAGACTGACAACGCTACTGCTAATTGTGAAGCAGGGGCTTATTTTCAGCAACAAGAAGAGCTGTTCCTGGCAGGAGCTCCAGGTAAGGGCTTGTTCACACCAAATGCAGACCAGATCTGCACAAGTTTCTGCACACACAGTGCAGTGTGTTATACCGCGTTTTTGATGCGTTCCGGGCCGGTTTTAGTTTTAAATGGGCTTTGCAGTGCGTTCCAGGGCATTTGCATGTGTTTTTGATGCGTTTGCATGTGTTCCGGAGCAGGTAGAATAGGGCATGCTGCAGTTTTTTTACATGCTCTGGAACTGAACGCTACAGTGTGAACTAGAGCCCAAAATACCATTGGAATACATTGGACGCAGTTTTGATCCGGTCTGTAACTGCTCTGCTCTGCTCCTGGAACGCCCTAACAAGCCCTGTGAACAAGCCCTAAGAATCCCCACAACAGATTCCCAAACAACACATTGGATAAGGAAGCTATATACAGTAAGGCATTATTCCAATCATACAGAAATATATTTTGTCAAAGATAAAGCTAACCACTTCCAAAATCTGAAATGAGAAAGGTTGTCCTGGGTATGCTTCAAAACCTATATTATTGGATGTATTTGACAGTTTATTTACTTTTGTGGCAAGTGATATGTAACTGTTCAGTTGCTTTCCTAGAAAGAGGAACCTTTATAATGCCCCTGGCAACATGGATCGCAGGCATTCCCTTGCAGTAAGCATTATGTAATGTTCTTGGTTCTGTTTTTTCGATATTTAAAGTGGAACTCCAGGAAAGAATAAAGTTTGTGACTTGTGTGTTCACAAAATACAAGGAGTTCTGCTCGTAGACTAGGGGAGAGGAAGGGCGCATAGGTTACAGTGCAGCTTTTTGTTCAAGAGCCGCAGTCCGAATGAAATGCTAGCTGTACTTTGTGGTATGAATGAAACACCAATGTTCCGGACTTGGAGTAAACATCATTAGAGGTAACCTGACTGTTAACACAAGTCACAAAGAGTTCTGTTTGTTATTTGGCTTTGACAAATCCTTGCAGTATTTATATTTGAGGCTTTACAAGTGAATTTGGTATATAAAGAAAGAATACTGTGAAATGCGGCATATTAAGATAAAAAAAAGGGAAGCACAGTCGTGGCATTTGAGTACAGTGACTTGTAGAATTGGAGGCTGAGGCATTATTTAACCAATCTCCTAACCATCTGCATATTTTGGACTACACTAGTCACACCTTTTTTGCTTTGCAAGAGCTGCCAAACCTTTTTTATGTGACTATATTAATCAGATAGGCAATATTAGTTACGTTGTTGTTGTTTTTTTTTTTTTTTTTACAGGAGGTCCGCAAGGTCACGAAGCAGAAGTCCTTATAAGTCGAGACGCTCTCGTTCACGAAGTAGACATAGGGTATCAAGATCGAGAAGCAGACAGTCTAGCATCTCCCCAAGCACCTTGACGCTGAAGAGCAGCCTAGCTGCAGAGATGAACAAAAACAAGAAGGCTAGGGAAGCAGAGGCTGCTAGAGTTCTAGCGAAAGCTTCCAGCACCTCTACTCCTACTAAGGGACAGTCAGAGGCTGCCTGCAACTCCCAACAAGCAAATCACGCCAAGGAGCAAAAGAAAACAAAAACAGACAATGCCCCTTCCCCAACTGTCAAAAGTGATAAAGCCAGGGTAAAAACTATGACTCCGGCACCAAGTGTGGATAATAGTGTACAAGCTGATAAATCAGCCAAATCAAGCGGAAAGGTGCATAAGATGGATACTGTAAAAGAAGAAGCACCTAATCCGAAAGAGAAAATCAAAGCACATAAAAGTATATCGGCTGTATCTGAGAAGATTAAAAGTTTAGGGATGTCACCAATAGTACCTTTATGTCTACCTCTTCCGATCGCCCTCTCTAGTGATGCAAACAGGTAAGCATTGTCTTTGGATTGGGTGTTTATAATCTTTTTTTTTCTAATGTATTTAAATGTATATGTTGTTTTTGTTTTGTTTTTTGGTATGTAATCCCTCCATACTGACATGGCATGAGAACCCAGTAAAGGATTGTGCCTCATTAGCATTATTCTGTCCGCCACAAATGGGAGAAATGAATAGACTAGACCAGTGATGGCGAACCTTTTTGAACCCGAGTGCCCAAACTGTGACGCAAAATCAATTTATTTACCCCAAAGTGCCAGCGCTGAAAATAAGTTTTGTATTATATTGCAGTTCGGACGCTCAGGTTTAGGAAACGTTCAACATCACTGCCTTAGGCAAAATAGGGAAACACGCATATTCAAACATTTATACACTCAATAAAACACATACACACGTAATGAAACGCACACATCAGGCACTTATTAAAACACACACATTACTCCTGAACCTGGGCTCGTGTGCCAGCAGAGAGGGCCCCGCGTGCCTTCCCTGGCACGCGCGCCATAGGTTCGCCACCACTGGACTAGACCATAGAGATCTGTATTGGTAAACTGGAATATCCAGCAGCACATTTTTAGTTTCGGGTAGAGTAGAAAGGTTTTTTAACGCAAGTCCTTGTCACTGTCTGGGAAATGTCCTCTCAGTTCCTGCTATATCAGTGGTACAAAAAATAGAGCGGTATCTGCAATGGAGACACGTGGGAATAAGAAATGTATTTAGTATTGTGAGAATGGATCAGAAACTCTTTGATTCTTAATGCTTTTGTGTATCTGTTAGTACTCGTTCACGCGGGCAGCAGGCTTCATCACCCTTCAGAAAAGTAATCTGTGGTGGAGAGAAGTAAAACAATGGCTTCCAGACATTAGGAGAATATACAGCTGCCTTCTGAATGTGGGAGTTTTTTTTTTTTTTATCCTAATGGAAATTTGCAATACCGCACCCCAACCATGTGCCCATGTAATTTGGGTGTGTTCCCATTGATTGTGATGGTCATGTTTGCCAAGTGGCACGGCCTATGAAGTGAGACATGTTGTTTGAAAATGTTCTGTGCCACAGAGCTTCATGGCTGTGGCATGTCTACAGGCCTTAGCAGACACCATTTTAAGTTTATTGGGTGGGCGGTTAGGGGGGCTGTAAAAACAGGCGGTTGATATTTGCCGGCCACGTGAACGAGGTTTGAAGGAGCTTTTTCACTCGCATCCAGTCCCACTGATAAGTGCCCCCTTAACTTAAAGTAGTTGTGAGCATAAAAAGCCCATAATGTAGTAAATACCTTCTTTTTTTTTTCTCTAAACACATAAAAATTGTGGTCCCTCTGACTGCACAGCCTCATTCATTCCTCTCTTCACTATAGGGGGGGGAGGGGCGGTCCCTTTATGTAGGTGAAGGGGGTGTGTGTTTTGTAGCGGGCATGTCTCTTTTCATTGCAGGCTCAAACACACAGCAGGGAGTTGCATACCCCGTCTGTATGTTACCCAAAACAAAGGGGCAGTTTTAACTAAGCTGAGAGTGCCATTGTTGTATGACACGGGCTCCCACTATGTGGGCTCAAACATGCAGCGGGTTAAGTACATTTCCCGTCTGTGTCTTACAGCACAGCCCGCATCACCGCCCGCATAATGAGAGCTGCTGTCATTCAACAGCAGCTCTCACAGCTTAGTTAAAACTGCAACTACCTGCCCGCTACTTGTTTTGTGTAACACATAGACAAGGAATGTTCTCCCCCCCCCTCTATGTGTGAGAGCCGCTTGACTGGAGGCACGGTGCAAATTTGTCTGAACGAGATACAGGCTCGCCAGGCATGGGCACTGTGTCCGGTAACTGCTTTTACTGATTCCAGGTACACAAACTGACTACACCAGCAGGGATCTGCTTCCCTCCTTGGCATGGTCAGTTTGAACCAGGAGCCAAAGGGAACCGGCAGAACCACCAGGAAAAATGTGAAGATTAGATTTTTTTAGGACCTGTATGAATAGCCCAACATAATACAAGGAATTTTGATTTTTGGGGTAACAAACACTTTAAAAAAGGAAAAACTCTTCTTAAAGAAACTGTTTTTTAATGTAGAACTTTCTTTAGAAGTTTGTTAGTAAACAATGATTGTGCTGTGAAACATTTGACCCTGAACTGCAGACGGTATCAAAACTCAAATTGAAAGTCTTTTTTTATTTGAAAAATAAAGTGACTTTTTTCAGTATAACTAGTGATTTGCCCTGCCAACTTCCTGTTAAGCAGCACTGAGTCTTTAAGAGGAGGACTATTACTGGAAGCTAATGCTCATGTGGTGATAGGAGGAGCAACAAAAAATGATGAATCCACATAGGGCAATCCCTATAGTGTAGAGAAAAATATTGGTTGATAATATTTCGATATGTAGAATTGAGGTGCAGTAAACTGCTTCTTCTTGGTCTGGGGTTACGTTCTTCTTTGGTTTAGTGCAAGGTGTGCTAGTAAGTGTTTAGTTCTTATTGATGCTTTCATTTATTGTTGCCTGTATGTATTGTCACTTGTAATGTCACAACAGCGAACCTTGGAAGCTCAAGCTTTAGTTAAGTGACATTACAAGTAAATGTGATTTGTAGGAACATGCTTATAGTAAGGGCAGGCATCTGATGGTGCTGGTACCAAGCCTGACTGTTGGGTAAATAAACCTGTACTTTTATATTACAAACCTCAGCATGCTATCTCGACTTTAAGGCGGGGAATTAAGGTTAATGTAACCCTTGTAAAATATAAAAGCTATTATTATTATGTGAAAACCTTTTAACATATTTTTAACTACACCCAACAATACTCTTACCGTATAGCAGCAGTAAAATTGGATTTAGGGTTGATCTATGCATCAGATTACAGGTAAAAGCAGGTCATGGGGTTGTAGGTCAGTGGTATGAAAGATTAAATTTATTTGGTTTACGAGATAAAACAATTTTCCATGCTCCAGTTTGGAGCTTGCATTGCGTGACCATCATCACGAGCACAATTGGAAACTAAAACATCAAGTATCCATACATCTCGGGAGAGTGACCGTCCGGTTTTACACACAGAGGGGAAGCATCCTGCTCGCCAAGTGTGATTATAACTCAGCGGCACACTGTATATTAACTCACCGGGTCTATCCTGGGTCTATCCTCACCGGGTCTATCCTATTCTATTGTATCCATAGAAGGCGTCTATAGGATCCAAGTCAAATGTTCATATTGACTTTAATTTCAACTAATTAACATCTTTAAGACACTTCACGGAAAAAGAGAAACACATTAAGAAAGTTTGACAGGAAATTCCCAGGCACTCGACATATGCTATATTGCACTCCTTTACTTTAGTCCAACGCTACTCCCTCTCAATTGAGGACCACCCGAAGATTTAGAGAATATTGATCAGCTAGCTCCGCTTGTGTGTGAGTGTTGATTTGTACGAAAGGATTATTGCAATGATCATTTTTTTAAGGGTGTGGGGATAGTGGTTTTTTAATTGTGTAGTCTGTTTACATGGAAAATTGTTTTATCTCGTAAACCAAATAAATTTAATCTTTTATACCATAATTTCACTCTCCGACCCCGTTCTTTAGCTGCACTCTGTTCAAAAAAACCTCTCTTGGTTTGAACAAACTGCCTTCATTATGTTCCAAAATAGCAGCAGGGGGTTGTTTCTTGCCTAGCAAGTGAGAGTCACCAAGAAGAGTAGGTGAACTCTTTTTCAAAAAAGGGGTGAGGATCTCTGTGTACATCAATCTATCTGTTCTTTGTAGGTCAGTGGTACATGTATAGAAACAGACCCACACAGGTCTGTAGTGTCTATTAATTTTATAAACAAAGATAAAATATACGTCATGAATTTGTCTTTGATTCAGTTTCCGAGGCTGTATCCCCGGAAAATCGGTCAAGAAGGAAATGGAGCGAAAACTTCGGCACTTGCTGTCTGATTTGCCCCTCCCACCTGTTTATAGTGGAGATCTATCATGTAGTCCGGAGGGGAAGAAATCAGCATTGAAGAACAAACGGAGGCCTAAGTATGACTCTACTTTAAAAACAGAATCACTTGTGCTTGTTTCTAATAATTGATTTTTATGCTTTCCATCAAAATAGTCTTATAAGGTGTGTTTATTTTCATTTTACTATACCTCTGAAAGTGGTCAATGTGGGTTTTTTTTTTTTTTTTTAAAGTATGTGTATGGGGCTGACATATTGCAGACATATTTTTCTTATTACATAAACAGGTCTTCCTGTGATTAGTATCACACATATCTTCAATCTTCAGTCAGTCAGCCTATTTAAATGAAGATAAGTAGTTACTCTGCTATTTGGTATCATCATGTGCACCACACTAAACATGGACCAGAGAAAGCAAAGGAGAGAGTTGTCTGAGGTGACCAGAATGTCAAAGGTAAAGGCTATAAGACCATCTCCAAGCAGCTTTATGTTCTAATGAACACAGGTAAAAATAGGAATAAAATCCATGTGAGTGTAGCCAACTTTGGACGTGGTCGCAGGAGAAACATTTGTGAGTTCTTTTTTCCATGAAGGGGTGCCAATAAAATGTGTGTGTGTAATTGCGTATTCTAAGTAATGTAAATATTTACCATCTGTTGGCACAGGTTGGTGCGCCAAGTAAAATCATTAGCTTTTTGGAAGCTAATTTACAGTTGAGTCTGTAAAATAAACCTTAAATACCCTATATAAACATTTTTATAGCTACTGGGGAAGGAGTGAGGGGGATTACTATAGAGGGTCAATGAATTGAGCGCTGGGACTGCTCACACCCAAGATGGTGGCACCCAGCAGCAGTCTTCGACCTATTGGATGTATACACAAGGTTGGCTTTTATAGATAAATAACATGCAGAAAATGTTTTTTGCCCATGTAGTCCTTTGGGAAGATTTTTGTTTAACGGAATGTGGCGAAAGGGTCTCTTGACGTGACTTTCTTTCCTTTTTTGGGTGTAAAGGATCTGCGGGCCACGCTGTGGTGAAATACATGAGAAAGACATTGATTGGGGAAAGCGATGTGTGGACAAGTTTGACATCATTGGAATAATTGGAGAAGGCACCTATGGACAAGTGTACAAAGCCAGAGATAAAGACACTGGTATGATTGCCTGCTGCTCTGTACCTACTTGTATTTGACTCTTGAGTTTTAGCTATTTAAATGAATGTGATTGTTTTTAAATCAGACATTATATGTTAAAGAAGAACTCTAGGTTTTAGAAGAATTAACCCCTGCAGTGCAATTGTTTTTTCTCTAGGGGCTCAAATAATAATTACCCGATCCCGCCTGGCTGCTAGACCGGTTAGGCCTCTTCTCCCCCAGGTTCCATCAGTCTAAGCCCTGCTGACGCCATCGCGTCTAATACTGTCCATTCGCCTGTATGAAGGTGACCATACACCATACAATTTTGTACGATTCCTTTTGTCCCGTCATCACACCCTAGTTCAATTTCCGCTCAAATAGCCCATCATGCACAGACCAATACCGCTTGCAATGATCCTTTGTTAGCAATACTAACTCTACAATTTATGTCCATCGACAGAACGGATGTTTGTTTGCATGTGTGCAGTGTTCCTGTTGCAATTTTTGTTGTACAAAAACGCCATTAAACCATTGATTTTTTTTTCTCGTTCGTTTCGACGTACGTTTTCTAGTTTGCCCGATCGAGCAAATTTGGCCAGTTGTACAGTAATTGTGATTGTGCACTTCCCATCAACCTTCCTATTATCGTACGAAAGCTCGAGCTAGTTTTTTTCGTACGATAATTGTAAGGTGTATGGGCACCTTTTAGACGTGAGGACACTGAGGGACATAGCTGGCGCGGGAGAGAGGAGCAGTCACTGCCGCAGGACTGACGATAAGGTGAGTATTCTTTCTTTGAGCCCCTTGAGAAAAACGAGCAGTTAACCCTTGCATTGTGTGGGGTAGCCCCACTGCAAGGGGAAATTTTTCTAAAACCTGGAGTTCTTCTTTAAGCAGACCGTATAAGTGGAGAGAGGGATGGTTGTGATTTAGCAGTAGTACCATGTTCTTTTGTATGCTGGTAAAGAGTTAAGTGTTCAGAACAAGCAATATAATGTGTGTATAATCAGGCAACCTTATTCTTCAAACAGCATGAGACTGGTCAGTTGTGAATGATGTAACACTTACAGACGGCATTGTGCAGCTGCTGGTTTTTTTTTCGAGGGTCACAGTGCTGTTTGCGTGTGAGCAAGTCACTTCATCACTGATGGTGCAAGCTATCACTAAGCAGTTTTTCCTGTTGACAGACCCAGCTGACTTAATGATACCTTCACTGTCATCCAGTAATTAGAAGCAGGAGTTGTTGGAATATGCCAGTGATGATGTCAGAGTCATGACAGGCACATATGGGGCTAGAAGAACAAGCTCTGTTGCTTCTAATTGGAAATGATATGCCAATTTTACTTGGTCACATTAAATGGTTATACCTAGGGATGCACTGATGCCAGTATTGCAAGTTTTTACGAGTATGCGTAAAAATGCCCTAAGGCAAAGTGCCGATAGCGGAGCTTAACATTTTAAAAATTCCCCTTTTATTAAATATTTTCCACAATTTCTAATAATTTACGACACCGTGATTAATACTATTAATGTACAACACATAATTATACATTCCAACATTTAGAATACTGCTGAATCTCGCTACTTAATCCATATATTTACATTCCAAAGTCTACCCCAACTAATCTTCACAAAATGTTTACCAGATCTTCAATTTTTACCCTCATGGCCTACCTGACTCCTTTTAACAACCCTCCCCCCTCCCCATTTATATAGTGATATTTCTTCCTCTATATTCCGTGTTTCATATAATTAATTGAGGGTGTTATTTACGTGTTTTACCCTTAAATGTGTAACATCATCACACCTGGAACCCCTCTGTCATCTCAGAATTCTTCAGAGCGGTGTCCCTCAATCGATGAGAGGGAAAACAGGATTTTGTTGCTTACTGTAAAATCCTTTTCTTGGCGTCCATTGAGGGACATGGCTCCCTCCCGTCATTTCCTCTCGTATTACATGCTAGTACTGGCAGGTGTAGGGTGGGAAGGTTATGTCCTAAAAGTTGTCCATTTCTCATGGAGATGGCAGCATAACCCTATGTCTGAGAATTCTTCAGAGCTGGTTCACTCAGCGGACTGTGAGAAAAGGATTTTACGGTAAGAACAAAATCCTATTTGTTATCAAGGATGTGGCCGCCATCATTTTTCAATCATTTTCAAAGGAAACCTCTACCAGTTGCTTGGCAGTCTCTGGCCAGAGAACGGTAGGATTTTAGAACGTCTAAGTTACATAATTGTTCCAGGTCAGTGACTTAAAAAAAACAAAACAGAGCTATAGGCCCATCATGACAGCCAGGGAAGTATCATTATGAGAAGATAAAGTCTGTAATGACAGCCTCCGCGCTTTCTCAGTACAGGTTTCCTTTTTCACTTGCAGCTTTTAAAGTGCTTATATATGCAATAGTGATTTATTTCAGATGGAATCGAAAGCTTTTGGTAACAACTGAAAGTAAATATAGAAATATAAAGTAATTTTTAAATTGGCTAGTGTTCGAGAGTCGCTTATGTAGGAGACCATTCATTGTTGTAAATATTTTCAGGCAAAGAGGTGTTTTGGAACGCCTAAAAGAGTTATTAGTGTTGGGAGTTGAGGAATCAACTAAAAGTGTAAAGTATAGTAACGGTTTCCTCCTCCTCCATCAAATAGGAGAAATGGTGGCTTTGAAGAAAGTGCGTTTGGACAATGAGAAGGAAGGTTTTCCAATCACCGCTATCAGAGAAATTAAGATCCTTCGTCAGCTCAACCACCAGAGCATTATTAACATGAAGGAAATAGTCACAGACAAAGAAGATGCTGTAGACTTTAAGAAAGATAAAGGTAAGTATTTTTACATTTACACGTTACAAATTCATGAGTATTCCTTTTGCTGAATAACAAATTTCAGATTTAGTATTAGTGGCAACCTACCTTAGAATGTAAAAACATTGGTGTCCCATATTATTATATAAATATTTTTTATTCTCCATTTGACACATTGCACAGGGAAACGCCACTGAAAAATGAACCAATACATCGTGAATAGGTTGAAGTGATAATTTTATAGAAGGTGTTGCTTTTTTCGCAAATTGCACCAAGTGACTGCCAGAGGGCAAGCCAATTTTATTAGATGTATGCTGGCGACGTACACTGTACGTCGTCAGTCACGAAGGGGTTAATGCAAGTTATTACATAAAATAAAACGCCATTTAAAACTGAATTCTGGACAACAAAATTGGCATATTTGAAGCTTTGTCTCTGACCTTATGTATTAACCACTTAAAGACCAGCTGTTTACACTCCCTTCATGTCCAGACCATTTTTCAGCGCTGCAGTACTTTGACTGACATTTATGCCGTCATGCAACGCTGTACTGAAATTAATTTTAGACCATTTTTTGGGGACAGATATAGCTTTCTTTTGGTGGTATTTAATCACCACTGGGGGTTTTATTTTTTCTATATAACGGAAAAAGTACCGCAAATTTTGAAAAAAAAACCCTGTTTCCCTATGAAATGTTATGAAACATTTATTATCCCCCCAATTTTTTGATAAAACATAAGACGGGTTCACGTCGGGGAAATAGACACCAAACATGTCAAGCTTTAAAATTGTGCACAATTCGCAAAAAATTACCACACCAAAAATTGGCCATAGGCAACGCTTTAAACGCTTTTACTGCTCATCAGTTTAGTGTCATCAGTGATTGATGGCCCTAAAATTATTGCTCAAACTCAGACATTCGCGGTGATATGTTACATGTACGGCGCAATAGTCGCTTTCACACCTAGGCGCACCCGACGCATGTTTGCGTGTATATGTGGGGGGCGGAGGGACTTCAAAAAATAAATAACTTAGTGGGTTTTTTTTAATGCCTCTTTTATTTTAATTTTTTTTTTTTTTTTACACTTAACTTTATTGCTATCACATGGGGGACTAAGAAGCCCCCTATGTGATAGCCAATTTACATGACAGGTCCTCTTTATGGAGACATCAAGGGTCTGCTTCACCAGCTTCTCCCCAGCTTCTGTAGCTGGGAATGACCGCAGAATGCGGGGGATCGCTTACCGAACTCCTGTCACAGAGCAGCCGTGCCGGTCCTGGCCGCACTGGGCACAGCGGATCTCGGGACCGGCAACGGCAGTGACGACAGCGGGGGTGTTGGAGGTAGGTCAAGGACGTCTTAAGACGCCCTCCCGCTCCTATAAGGCTCCCGTCGGCCATTTCCCTACGGTAAGCGGACGGGAGGTGGTTAAAGGAAAAATAATGGCATTTTTAGATGTGTCTTTTTTGAGGATACTAGCTCCAAAGGCACCCTATGCGCCTTCCACTACATGAAGGGTTCCCTAGTACAGGTGACTTCATAGACGGTGATAAGAGCACAGAACTGCAGCACCTTGCTTCGCTTTATAATATTTGAAGGGATTGTATGTTTAAAAAAATATAATAGTTTGAACATGCAAAAGGCACAGAACAGCGGTGTCGCTACTCCCTGCTCACCTTCCCCTGTATGGCAGGCACATTGAGCAGCCAAGCACAGACCCGTTATTTCTGTCAGATAGCAGGTACAGGGAGCTAAAGGTCGAGAAGAAGGGGAAGGGGAGGAGCAAGGCATATCACACTGTCAGGATCCAGGTAACTGCATGATTTTGGCAGTGTTAAACAAGTAAAAGTTTTGTACCCTCAAGCTAGATCACTCGAAAATACATTTAAACTAATGACATTGTGGAATGAATCCTAATACTGTGCAATCAGGCAATCTCCAGGTTCAGCAAGAACAGCAATATTAACCTGACCACAGCTGTAAATATGTTCAAACAGATTATAGTAAGATTTGTGTACCTGCTGAGCTCTGCTTAAAGGAAATTTGTACTATGAATATATAGGGACTTTGCATAACTTTACTTTTGGAAATCCTAAGTGAATGGCTGTCATGCTTACGCAAAGGCTTTAGTACTTTCTAAGTCAAGGCCATGGACACAATAATGCAGATCAGCAGTTTGGGCTTCATTCTGATTTCACTAACTGCATCGCTTGTTCAGAGTCAGTGACTGAAAGTGTCAAAACAAATACCATTTTCAGAGAAGCTCAGCAATACCAGCTCCAGGATTCCTCATAGTACAGGTTTCCTGTAAGTGCTCTCCCTCTGGCAAAACCCTCAACTAGAATAAGTGGCTGTTGGGTCATGGCGAAAAATAAATATCCGATTTCACTAGAGAGCGATTTCAAATAAATGTCAATATTTGGCCTCCTTGGAATAAGAGGAAAAGGTGATTTTTTTATTTTTTATTTTTTTTTTCATTTTCATGTTCACAGGAGCTTTTTATTTGGTGTTTGAATATATGGACCATGATTTGATGGGTCTACTAGAATCCGGATTAGTGCACTTCAATGAACTTCACATAAAGTCCTTCATGAGGCAACTTATGGAGGGTTTGGACTACTGTCACAAGAAGAACTTTTTGCACAGGGATATTAAATGCTCAAATATTCTACTAAATAACAGGTGTGTATTGTTTGTAAATGTTTTTGTATTGTATTTTGTTTTCTGTGCAGTGTGAAGGAGAGAAGATATTTGTGAAATGTATGTACATACACGCTTGCATATTGGATGGGGCGATACAGGGTCGTATGGGCAAAATGATTGATAGACTTGACCAAAGTCAATATAAGGTTAACAAGCATGACCGAAAATAAAATCTATCATGCCAAAGTTGTGATTTCAAAGGTTATGAGTCTGTACTAGGCAGTCATGTTGGGGAAACATTTAGGTTAAGTAGTTGTAATAAATATAATCGCCTCCCAACGACCAATCACTATATGGAACTAATGTAGCATGTAGTGGTGATAGTCGTGCACTGTGCGAGCATTGGCTACCACATGCTACTTGTATGCCTTACTCCGCAGGGAGCCATTTGTTCCATATGTGTAGCATTCGGTCGCTAGTACTATCAATCAATTGCTAGTGCTTATAATAGTGTTATTGTCCTTTTAACAATCGCTCGTGTGCACTTTTACAAAAACATCAGTGATCTTAAAGAGGAGTCCTTGCAGCGGGGCTACCACCGCACTGCAGGAGTAAAGTGCTCATTTTGGTCTAGGTCAGGGGTAGGCAACCTTGGCTCTCCAGCTTCATCACTTCCAATACACAGCATAGGATGTGAGGACGCCAAGGAACATGCCATTGCTACAGTAGAAGAGGAGACGGGCGGTCGTGAGTGCTGTAACAGCCAGCCAGCTAGCTAAAAGCTTCAGGTGAGTATAACTCTATTTTTGAACCTAGACCAAAACAAGCGCTTAACCCCTGCAATGCAGGGGTAGCCCCACTGTAAGGGTTAAGAAAAGTTTTGTCTGGAGTAGTTCTTTAACTGTTTGAGCCATGTGTTCAGTAAGATGAGGCTGTATACAATGAGAGGAATTTATCAAAATGGAGCAGCTGTGCACGGCGACCAATTAGCTTCTCGGTTTCATTTTCAAAGCTTAACTGAACAAACTGAAGAGTGATGCTGATTGGTTTCCATGCACAGCGGCTCCAGATTTTGTCTGCTCCAGTTTTGATAAAGCCCCCTCAATGTGTTAATGGGTTTGTTATATTTTCTAATTTAGGTTTTGCTAAACATTTGATTAACTTGTAGGTGTCGTGAACATTCTTAGTGGATTACAAATGTATTTTCTTGTAGTCTACATTAACCTGTGGAAAGCTACAGTGATTCATTCATATGCACTGATAATCAGAGCTGGATCTTTGAATGCTTTGTTGTGCTTTGTATACTGTTATCGTGTAGGATTCTTACATAATTCTGTATATTTTGTTTCCACAAGGGGGCAGATCAAACTTGCAGATTTTGGACTTGCAAGATTGTACAGTTCAGAAGAAAGGTGAGATCTTGTTTATGAAGCGGAACCCCTTGGGAGTTTTTGTCATCTTTATCATACTAAATAAATAAATATATTGATTCTTGGTACGCAGGTATCACAGAAATCACACGCCTGTGCTGTGTGTGTGTCCTTTACTAACCAGAGTTACTTGATAATGAATGTCTGTAGTAAATGACATTTATGTTCCAGAAGTGATCACTGAAACTGGATTCCTATAGCTCAGGATCAACTGATGTTTAAACAGCGCTAGCTTTTTGTATGCCATCATTATATATATCTGTGTTTTGTTATTTTAAAGTAAACAGTTTTTATTCTTCTTGTTTAGTCGGCCTTACACCAATAAAGTCATTACATTATGGTATCGTCCTCCTGAGTTGCTGCTTGGGGAGGAGAGGTACACACCAGCTATAGACGTCTGGAGCTGTGGGTGAGTGATATGAATATGGAGCACTATAGTCTATAGTTCATTTTAGTATGGCTGCATTCTGAATCTTGTCTTGACTCCCTTTTTTTATGTAACCTCCATATACCATGTAAGTATTTCCACTAAATGATTACATACAGTATATTTGTATTGTAAGAAGTGCTGTCAAGAACTAACAATGTATATTGCTCTCCTTGGCAGTCAAATATCTTTGATCCTTTGGCTATGATCCCATTGGTTGTGTGAGAGCATTTCACTTTACAACTGTTTCTTCGAATGGCGGCATGTTGTCACTATTTCAGTTGTGTATGGCAGTTGTTTACACTGAGTGGCCAGATTATTATGACCACCTGACGTTTGTAGGCTAATTAGCTATAATTTTGCGCTGAAGTTGCTAGAGGGCCAGACCATTATAAATAGGGAAGAAGGTTGTTTACAACGACAGTAGAAGTGATTTTTTTCTGAAGATATGGGTAAACAACGCGATTGAACAGCCTTTGAATGTGGGATGATTGTTGGTGCTCGGAGCCATGGAGCGAGTATTAGCAAAACAGCAGAATTCGTGAAATGTTCAAGAGAAGCTGTTGTTAAAGTGTTTAAAGACTGGACTGTCAGGCGAAAATCTGGGTCTGAACGTGCGAATTGTGGCCGTCAGCGACTAGTCAATGTTAGGGCAGAACGCAGAGTGGCAAGACTAGTACAAGACAACAGAAGGGCAACAGTGCCGTGTCAGATTCCTCGCATCACCTTTCAACATCTCGTGGAGTCATCTTGTGGCCCAACGAAGTACTGATGGTGTGGTCATAAAAATCTGGCCACTCAGTGTATAGCAATGCATATAAAAAAACATTAGGTATGCCAAGAAGGACAGTCCTTTCATTTACTGTATTGTTTTCTTAGGTGTATTCTTGGTGAGTTGTTTACAAAGAAACCAATCTTCCAAGCTAATCAAGAACTTGCACAACTTGAATTAATAAGGTGAGTTGCTCTATTTGTAGCCATTTTTGCTGTATGCTATCATGCCATCAACTATATGGGATGTGGACTTTTGTAGGCTAAACCAATTGGGCCATTTATCTCATGAGTGCCTGTTAAACTGATGGGTTGTATTGTTTGGAATCATGGCACCCACACTGGCTGCCTTTGTTCAGGTGGAATGTACTTGCTATAATCTCAGTCGTTGGCACGTGCACTTAGCCTGTATTTGTTCTGATTTTCATTTAAGCCGCATGTGTGGAAGTCCGTGCCCTGCTGTTTGGCCCGATGTGATAAAGTTACCATATTTCAACACCATGAAACCAAAGAAGCAATATCGTCGAAAGATCCGAGAGGAGTTTGCTTTGTAAGAATCTTTCCTTTTACCATAGGTCTATAAAAGAAGTAAATGAGTAAGAAGTCTATGTTACAGATCTTAGGAGGTATTGAAAGGTGTGTGATGTGAACATCTTGAGGCTAGGGAAGCATGAGCCTAGAAAGGAGGCACTTCAGACGTATTCAGTGCCTGGCAACCATCAGGTCTGAAAGTGTATACCTCTGTACAACTCTGTTTGCTGGGAATTGCTTCATGTTCCACCAACCTTTGAAAGAACTTCCCCCACCCCGCAAAATGGCAGAGCAAGAAGAAGCGCTTCTCATTGGTTAGTGTGGTCAGGTGATGTGCTGACCAATGAGACGTGCCTCTTATTTATTATTGGTATTTATTTAGCACCAACAATTCACAATGCACATTCACATCAGTCCCTGTCCTCAAGGAGCTTACAATCTAAGGTGCCCATCGCACATGTATACATACAAGGGCCAATTTGTTGTTAATAAGATGGTTATTCAGGAAAGCAGGCTAGTGCCAGCTTGTATTATGAGCTTTACAGGTACTGTAGTGTTGTTTTTTTCCTCCAGCGTTCCCACTTCAGCACTGGACCTGTTTGACCACATGCTAGCGTTGGATCCTAGCAAGCGATGTACTGCTGAACAAGCTCTACAGTGTGAATTTCTTCGGGAAGTAGACCCAACTAAAATGGCTCCCCCTGAGTAAGATTTTTTTAAATATTATTATCCTTTGTGTACGATTTATGTTTAAAAATGTTCCTTAGTGTTGTTTATTCACAGAAAATTCCTTATTAGCACTGCTGCTCAGTACCACTGGTTTTAATTGGCTTCCGCAAACTTTTCTCTCACACGACGTCATAGGGAAGGTATCCCTCTCTTACAAATGGCAATAACTTGTGCTTTGGATAATTTTGTTGGGAGCACGATACCATTGTTTATCGGTTTGAAAATGAGCACAGCTGTTAAACGGGGCTGCTGGGTGTATCTCACCTGAGTTCCTCAGAAATATAAGAAGCCAGCATGTGATGTCTGCCAGTTTCCATCCATAGACAGATAAGGGATTCAGTAGAAATGCAAACAAAACCTTATGTTTTGTTCTGCATAGAGCAGTAGAGTTAGAGATTAACAGCTTTTTTTTTTTCCCTACAAAAGGAGAGATATTTACAAACTAGACTTCTATTGTTAAAGGAGAACTATGAGGTGAGTGCTTTTCACTCACCTCATAGTTCTAGCCGACCTGTGACAATGAGACTGTCACAGGTCGGCTCAGTAGATCGTGAAGTGAGCGAACACAAACCGGCGTTCACTCCTTGATCTTGTCACGGCACAAAGCCGTGACAGGGGAGGGACTGGATTCCCCGCTCCGATCCTCCAGCGCTGACTGGCAGCTGTCACTCACGCAGCTGGGCGGATCCAGACATAATTGTCGTGATCCGTTTCAGCTGTGGCGTAGCTTGCGGTATACTGCGAGCTCTCAGTAGCCCAGCTGTAGCTCGCGGTATACTGAGCTTAGGGTGACCGGAGGACGCTAGTTTATGTCCTCCCGTTACCCTAAGGAGAGCTTTGGGGAAAATCCCTAACCCCATTGTTCTCCTTTTAAAGCCCAACTCAAGGTAAATGAAAAGTCTTCCTTGCAGTGGAGCTGTCCCCTGCACTACAAGGGTTAGCTGCTCCATCAAGTTTTGGGGCCAGGAAGAAGCAATTTGACTTGCCTGATCCACATTCTGGCTGGCTAACTTTGGGCTGCAGGACCGGTCCCCGCAGCTTCTTTTTCCCTTTTGCTCCAGCGGTCTAATGACAAGTGACGTCATTAGGTAAAATGCAAACTCCACAGCCCTGCATTGTATGTGAAGATGCAGAGGGACAGTCCACAGCCAGAGGGGAAGGATTTGGGGGGGGGGGATAGGAGATCATCAATTTCCGGGTGAGTGTTGGGTTCTGGTAATAAAAACCTAGGCATAAAACGAGCACTTAACTCTTAACTCCACTACAAGGGAAAACGTTTAATTTCCCTGAATTTGGGCTTTTAAAGTAGAAATTGAGGCAAAATGTATATTGTGTATTTGTTAGAATAAATGCCAAATGTTTAATAAACAGCCCCATTTTAAAATAAAGCTCCCAGGAAATGGTTCTATTGAATTTAAATGCGATAAGCAGATGTGGAGAAACCTTTGTGACCAGCGTTTGTATTTGTTAAATGCTGCAATTAGTTTGGTTTCCCAGTAGTTTATTTGCCCACCTTTGGTTTGGACCTTGTGAAGATGTATTTGATATTGACTCTTAATTCATGGTTAATGTAGTCCATTTGACTACCAGGAGCTTTTTCTGCTACTGTCTGTAACTGTTTGGTTGTGTTGTTGTGAAGTTCATTGATCTGCCAGAACAGCTGCAGGAAAATGCTTAGAAGGGTGTCATTGTGTGCCTGGAAATGTGCTAGCGAGACATCAAGCCCTGTGTGAAATCATAAATAAAGTAGAACTATGACCTCCCATTCAAAATATGTGCTGCAGCACTTCATTATATATAAGTACATCTGCACTCCGCTTCCTAGATCCCTCTGCAAAGTTCCACAAATACCTGTTGCTTGCCAGTTATGTCCACGTAATGCAGCTTTCTGTGATGGCATCGCAACAATGCTGCACTGCTTCTGAATTCAGGACGGAGTTTCCATCCTCATGTAATGTGCCTGCTTGCACTATTATAATGGGATGAAAAAATGTTGCAGGGGACATGGCTATTGGCATTGTCACTGCTGATTCACAAGCATGTAGCTTTTCAGTCATGGCAACATCCAGTCCTGCCTGCTGCTTTCTGGGTTTACAGTGCTGTCTGGGAGGGGGAGCATTTTAGACCCAAATTAAGGAGAATTTGGCTCAGTCAGGGAAGGTAAAGAGTTTTTTTGTTGTTGTTTACTTTGAGGCTCATGCATCACATAGTAACTGCATTGGGTACTGTCATAGAGAAGCCTTTAGTTGTGCTTTAACTATAATGATCTCTCCTTCCATTTCTTGTAGTCTCCCTCTTTGGCAAGACTGCCATGAGTTGTGGAGTAAGAAACGCAGAAGACAGAAACAAATGGGAATGTCTGATGATGTAACGGCACCAAAACTACCAAGGAAAGATTTATCTGCCGGAATGGATGACAGCAGAAACAGCACTCCCCAAGGGATGCAGACATCCTCCCAGATAAAGCCTCAGGGATATCCTGGTGTTGGATTAGGTAAGTGTGTACGGGTTGTATTTACATATCAAGTTAAAATATATTCTGACTTTTGGATGATGGAATCTAAAGTGAGTAAATATGTATGAAGGCCTTGCATAACATCTCTGTATATTTATTTTCCTAAGGTCATCCAAGTTCTGGACAGCAGCTGAATCAGAATTCGGTGGCCATTTTACTAAACTTGCTACAGTCTCAGACTAGTAGTGTCAGCATGGCACAGTTGGCACAGGTTATGAATATCAAGGTGAATCCAGAGACTGAGCAACAGCTGAACAATTTAACTCTTCCAGCTGGTATTCTTGCATCTGCCGATAAATCTCCAGAGCCAAAAGAGGAGCCTCCCGTTCCAACTGCAGTATCGGAACCTGAACAGCCCACCTTCCCATCATTGCCTTTACCTAAGGCTAAGCCGGATGGAGCTCAGACAACCATGCAGAGCACTTTTTCAGTATTACTGGCTCGTTTATTAAAAGATCAAGAGCAAAAACAACAAGCAAAGGCAGTAGAAGAGCCTCCTGAGGAGAATCTACAAGAAGAAACGCAGAAACCCAGAAGGCCTCCAAGTCCTGAACCTATTGGTATGCATCAAAGTTTATGGCCTTTAAGGCAGTCATTTCTGCCTGTTTCTTGCATTGTTGTTGAAGGTGGTTGTTTGTGGAATTTAGTGGTTAAGGTTATAGTTGGGTTTTAAAGGTTTAGGTTAAGACTGTCAGGATATACTGGCTGTCTACAGAAGAATATGGATACTGGCAAAAACGTCTGCAAAGAAATGTTTTGGCTTTTTTTGTTATTTTTCTTGCTACTTTTTTTTAAATTTCAAACAAGACTCCTCTACAAGCTGCTGAGTTGGTCTATATCCAGATCAGCAGTTCTCAGTGCTAGCTTTGGGGGCTCTACCTGGACCCCACTGGACTAGACAAGTTTGGGGTTGCCTGAAATGCGTCCTTTCACTGGCTTCTGCGTTTAGCAATTTCCAGACCTTAGTGCTTTGGTTAGCTGCAAAATGCTTTCCAGGTTCGGGGAATGCCACAGCTTCATGTGTGATGGTCTCTGAAGACTTAATTTGTGAGTAGGAAGTGTGGTCTAAGCACAAGAAGCTCCTCCTTACATGGACCGTTGGATGTCATTTACTAATACCACTTCCTGACTGTTTACTGCAAAAGTGGTTAACAGAAAATGAGTGCTGATGTCATTTGCTGGGGGGAGTGTTACATGTGCGTACTCTTTCCTGCCATTCATCATATAGGTAGCACCTTCCCACCGCTGCTCCCTTCTGCAAGGACACATGGATCTATAATCCTTATCTAATCTGATTGTGGCCTTAGTGGTCTCTAAACCTAGGCTATTAAGTTTTTAACCAAGGATGTTATGCTTGAGGAATTGTAGGCCACTTTTAGTTCCAGGCTCAGGGACTGTAGCAGCTTTTATTGAGGCAGTTCACACTACTTTAAAATTAGTGAATAAGCCCAAGGCTTCTACTAGTGCATTTCCAAGTCTAGGCTCTTTCAAGGTCCTCAAGACTGTTGAGTCCTTTCTGGTGCACCTTTTATTTCCTGTCATGCTTTACAAACACTGGAAGAACCCTGGTGGTGTTCACTCCTCCTGAATAGCCATCTGTCCTGTATCCATTTGAGGGAACTTTAAGAACTGGATGGACCCTGCTGTGGATCCGGCAGTTACCTGTATTAATAAAGCCTTAATCATCCCTGTGGAGCATGTGCCTGTGTTTAAGGACTCCATTCATAAATCATTTGAGGTTCTTTCTAAAACGTTTTTCTCTGGCACACCCTGTCTTGCAACCTGCCATGGTAGCAAATTTAGTCTGCCAAACGTTGGTTTATTGGGCTAAGGCTATCAAAAGAGATTTGGTTGCCATAGATGTGTGGAAGGGTTGTCTAGAAGTCTTCTGTCTCATTTTGTGTACACATTTCCTGTCTGTGAACATGAGCAGAACTCTTTGGGTGTTGAACCTGCATGTAAAAAAGCATTTGCTTTGCATGAACTTTGAGGGACAAGTGCCATTTTGAAGCTGTCCTGTCACCCTCATCAAGGAGCATCAAGAGTACCCATGTGCCACTACGGAAGAAGCCTAGTGATGAGCCTGGAAAGCCTCAACCCTCCTTGAAGGCCAAGAAGGGTTCCTTTCTTTATTTCCAGCTCTCAGCCTCCAAAGCCAAGCCCAGGTTTGGCAATTGGTCGGCTTGCAAACTCTGAACTTCCTAGTCCCTCAATCCTTCAGACAAGCCTTTCTCAGCAGGAAGGGGTGCACCACTTTTCACTGTGAGGTGGGGATTGTTTGTTAGCCATTGTGAATATTTGTCTCGGCCAGCATATCAGATGCTTGGATAATGGAGGTGAGTTCCGCAGGCTACAAGCTAGAATTCCGCTCTTGGCTCCCTCCTCTCCTGATCAACATTCTTGCGCTTCAGATTATTTGTTTGTCCCTACTATGCTGGATACCCTGACTCCCCCTCTGATGCAGCTCTGCTAGGCTTTGGTTGCCTGAAGCCTTGCTGTTCCCCTGAGGACCCCAAACATTATTGCCCTGTCCTCCTCCTCCTCGGGTAGTGCAGGTGGAGGCACAGTGGTGACAGAGGTTCCTGGGCTTCTGGCAGCAAGTCTACTTCCCACCTTTTTTATAATTTTTAAAATCTATTCTATCTATTTTTTCTCTCTTGTGCACTTGTAGAGGTAGTCTACTTTAACAAAGGGACACTTAGGTTGGTTCTCACTGTTTTGCTTGTGTTTTCCATTTGAGGTAGGAACCAATGATCTCTGAGGTTGCTGTCCTGGAAGATTCTCAGAAATAGTGTTAAGGGCAAGACTATTTTTTTTTCCACATTTGTAAGCCTGCCACCTAGTCTTTTTTTCACACACTCCCACTTCCCAACTCTTAAAACATTAAAAACAGCCCGGTATGAGCTCCTCCTACTTGCTGCATGGCTCAGTTTGTTGAAAAAGCAGTGCCAAGAACAAGAGCATACAGAAGGGTGGGGCTTGTGTCCTTCAATTAAGTGCAAAAATCTGAATTATATTTTTTTCACCGTGAAACAGTGATTTCATCCTTTTTAGCTAGCAAGAGCTTAGTAGCAGCCACAGCTCTCACATATACTTAAATAAGTATTTCTCTGGTTGAAAAGTTTATATTTAGACACCCTGCACAACTGCGCTAACAGGAGAGTGCATTAGGAGAGTGCATTAACGGCAGTTTTTCTCTCTCTCTCTATATATATATATATCTATAGATCTATCTATAGATATATATAATTAGGGATGCACCGATATATCGGCCGCCAAAACATATCGGCCGAAAAGGGCACTTTTGGCATAATGCCGAAAGAGCCATTTTCGGCTGATACATCGGCGCATCCCTGGTTTCTTTTCTCCCCGCTGGGCGCTGTTCCAGCGGGGAGACAAAGTGACAGCCGGCCGAGCGCTGCGGTGGAGAGCGCTGTGAGCGGCCGGCGTCTCCTCCCACACCGCTCTGCCGCCTATCACAGTCTGGCAGAGCGGTGTGTGGGCGGAGACAGCGCTGTCACAGGAGGCTGGACTTTCCTCTCTACACCTCTCGATCAGCCTCCTGTGACAGCGTGTCAGTGAGAAAAGCAATGTACACACACTCAGCGATCAATGATCGCTGAGTGTGTGTACATAATTGAGGATATTTACATGAAATTTTAAAATAGAAATCTTCATGCTGAATGTGTGTGCGTGGTTTTGTGTGTTCATCAAGTGATATCGATATGTGTCAATAATGAAGCAGAGTAATTAATTTTAAAGTTGGCCATTTGATTTATTGGCTAGTGCTGCCACCTACTTAGCCATGGTGCTGCCTGAATGTGAAGTGTATTACTGTAATCTTGCTTGTCTGGATAGTGACTGTTTATAATACAGATGTTTGTGCTTTTTAGATGAAAATGATCTTGTTGATCACCACGATCCACCGGTCAAAAGCGCATCACCTGAACCAAATCATCCTCAAATACTGCCTCCGGATCAGCGGCCCCCAGAGCCACCCGAACCTCCTCCAGTGGGAGCGGAAGATCTTGATTACCGGACAGAAAGGCAGCAAGTACCCAACACCAGCATGTCTGCTTGTGATCCTCATGCAGAAGTTAAAGCAGCACTATTGGAAATAATTGCCCAGCACCAGGCTCAGGAACAAGATACAAGTGGTGTAGACTACTCTGGGGGCAAATCGTTTACCAAGGCTCAAGACAGCACTGAGAAATGTGGACCATCTTTCCTCGCAACCTCCTATAGCGGTGACAGACCTAGTAACATGCCTGCTGCTGTTTTGGAAAGGCACCCTGAACAACAGCCTGTTGATAATTACAGTACTTCTTCATCTCAGATCGGTAACCGGCTCCCTGCAAACCCTCCGTTTCCAGAGCCCTTCTGTAATTCTGCCACCACTTACAGGGACAGCTACCTCAATGCTGGTTCCATGTTGTTTAGTGGTGACAAAGATCACAGGTTTGAATATAGTCAAAGCCCCACATATATATTGGCAAACAATAATCTCTCTGCAGGAATGGACAGTCGTACAATGCCAACAAAAATGCCTAACTTTAGCTACAGCACTAATGTACCAGAGCATCCTGGTCTACCTGCGCTAATGCACAGACCTGTGTGGGCATCTCCTCACCAGGCACCTGCTTTCTCTCAAGGACATGGGGGACATATGGGTACATATGTCAGAGGTCGTGGGAGGGGGTTACCATTTTGATTTTTTTTTTCCCTCAGGCAAAATATTTCTATCTGGAATGACTTTTTAATTTTCGGCAAAGCTGCATTTTCCAGCAGCTGCAAAATAGACTTGAGAATGAGTCTGATAACAGCTTTATTTTTTATGTAATATGAAATGGTCTTGCAATACAACAGCAAACAGTGGAGGGGGAGGGTAAATACTGCAATTTATTCTGTATTTGAGAGCTAAATAACTAATTTACACATTGACAAATATTCGTTTAAAAAAAAAAAAAATCTTAATTTTGTACTTTACCATTTTGAAGTTTAATTATTTTCTGGGCATCATCTTTGTTTTCCCCACTGGCACTTGCAAGAATTTTGAAGAATATGGCACGTGTGCTTATTTTTTTGTACATTTGGACCAATGACTGGTAATTACAAGGCAGTGCTTGAATTCCTTGGTATCTGTTTCTTTGTACAAATACTACCTTTAGTCAAAGGTCATTGTCGGTTCTTTCACTGCTTTCAGTGTCATTGTGAAACTAGTGCTCATTTCAGACAGAATAATAAAACAACCTTTTTCTTGTGATGCAAACGTTTGATCAACTGTTTTTTTTTTTTCTTTTATGCATAAAGAAATAAATGTTGATTAAACCACATTTTAATGACTCCTTTTTATTAACATTTTACAACAGAATTAAATTCCTGCTTCCAAACTAAAAGATGTGCTTCAGGGTCAGCTCTAAGCTCTGGCTGAAACTTAAAGAATAAGTTCACTTTTAGACAAAATGCACTTCATTTTTTTGCCCCCCAACCTTGACCTAAATTATTCCACCCCTCGCCCTCCAAGACCCATACTTCCAAGGGCCACTGCTCTGCTGTTTTGTGGACATTCAGTGCCACAAGTCGTCGTCCCGTCCCCCCCCTGGCTGCGTCAATTTACCTGCTTGGAGATGACCCTATAGAAGTCCATGGGGCTGTAATGTACAGGTGCAGCCAGCAGAGGGAGCACTGAGGTGCTGTAATGTAAACAATAGAGGATCTGTGGTTGTTAGAACTCGGTAAGTACGGATCCTCCGAGACGGGGGGACAGAAAAAATAGGTGCACTTATCAATTAATTTGGTAAAAGAATATGTTATCCATTTAAATAAAGTTTTGGCTTCAAAATCTATATATATGTTTTGATATCTGCTGTAATTATTCCTTTATTGTAGTGTCCTCCCTTTGTTTAGTCCTGCATTTATTCTGCTCAGTCTTTCAAAGTTTGCCTTTTGTCTTCCGTTCATTGAAGGACACAGGGCAACAGATCGTAGATTCTGTACTGTAGAGTATATAGCCACCCACAGG